GTAGGTCAACACCTGTTTCCTCCATGGGCTGGAACATGTTGCCGCCTTGTTGTGTGCAGTGTGATGTTACTGCTGTATGGAATAGTTGTAATGACTGGTGAGATCAACAGTATAACTGGTCAAGGGCTGGTCTGGAAAATATTTATGTCTAACTCCATTTGTGTGTAAGATTATGTAAATAAAGCCCACAGCTTGGATCTTCTTCCTAAACATTATTATAAAAGCAAGCCCAAGGGAAAGAAGTTGACAGCATATCAGTGCTAATTTCTTTTCCTCAAACCTTGAGCTAAAAACTAACAAACACAACTAAGGCTGTAATCCTGTGGTGAGTTTTTCCACCACAGTGGTCACAAAAAAGATTAACTAATAACTTGTTGTCTTTTGATGCTCTAAATAACTGTGTGACCCTCTAGATAGCAAGATGTTCAGCAGCCTAATGTTTAACTTCAACTAGTTTGAGACTAAACAATGTATGAAGGGTTCATCTTTTGTTGTATTTTTCTGTATTCGGGGTGTATTAATAATTCTATTTTGGTTCTTGTAAAAACCTGAAAATGGAATGGAAATCTCTTGTTTCATATTATATTTTTTTCTTTTAAAGTGGGGGAAGAAAAGGGGAAGTGACCTTCGAAGAGTCGGAGAGCTGAAACCCCTCTTCTCCCACTGAAACCCCCAGAAACTGGAGGGCTCTGGGAGATAAAAATCTTTGGAATAGAATGAGATCAACCAAGTGTCACCACATGGACTAGAGCAGTGAGACTGTACTGTGGAGTACAACTGTTCTCAACCAGGATGCACTGAGATTCTTTCAAGGGTGTCAGGGGGTGCCACACAGTGTTAACGCAGTTAGGTGTACGCATATGATCCACAATATAAACCCAGAGATTTCAAATAGCTCAATCCATAGCATTAAAAACATACTGACCTGTTTTTAGAGGTGCACCAGTGCATTGGTCCGTATCACATTGGCACTGATAAAAGGAAAATTGACATTATTGGCAGTTGGCTTTTTTTGGCTGATGTGGCCAATTTAATGTCGCCAATAAATGCTGCGTGCGTGCATGCAGCCTCAGCATGCACGCAGCTAACTCGGCAGCTTGGAGAACAGTGTCTGGCTGGTAAGTCTTTTGGGGGACAGGGGTGAGGGGAGGGAAGGGGTGTAGGAGGGACAGATCAAGGCCCCCACAGTGAGAGAGGAGGGGAGCTGGGGCAAGCGCTGCCCAGCTGGGATGGAACATGGGATGGAGATGTGAGTGGCTCATGTGGGGATTGGGGGGGCAGTTACTGCCACAGCTCACCCACCCCAAAGGAGTTGTGGGTCATGTGCCCCCCTGATCTGTGCACAGGGTGAGGGTGGGCTGCCGCTGTGGGCTAGGTCTGGGTGTGGTGCCAGGTCCCTCCCGGTTGGGGGGGTTGTTTGGGGCAGCACTTGTGGTGGGCAGCAGTGGTGCTTTGAAGCTTTAACAATGAAAGCTACTAGGGGTGCACCAATAAAGATTTGCTTGGCCAATACTGGTAGCCGATTATTAACCAGCCATATTGGCCAATACCAATCCAATAACCAATGTACAGGAATGCAGGCTGGCAGCATGGCGAGCAACTCCCTGCAGGTAAGTCTTTGGAGGGGGAGGGGCATGGGGGGGCAGATTGAGGTCTGGTAAGTCTGTGGAGGGGGAGGCAGTGGGGAAGGGATAGGGGCTGGGGCTGAGGGCACTGTCCAGCCAGGGCAGTGAATGGAACCCAGGGCTGGGGCAGGGAGTGGGACAGAGCTGCTGCAGGCTTGTTCAGGGAATCAGTGTCCTAGTGCTTAAAAATGGCGGCAGGAGCGCTTGATCTAAAGCTCGTTGAATGAGCTTTAGTTCAGGTGCTGCCAGCACCGTTTTTAATCATGGGGATGCTTTTAACTGGAGCTGAGCACAGTAAAGGTGGCTGTGGGCTGCTCATTGCTCCTGCTGCTGCCAGGCGGGCAGGGGATGTGTGGCCTGCATGGGGTTCCTGAGGGAAAGGCAGCAGAGTGTAGAGCCCTGAGCCCACAGCGAGCAGCCTGCATCTGCCCCGTGTACCCATCTGGGGTGCGCACATGCCCCCATCCCCATGCCTCCCTGGGGTATGCGCTCAGTAGCAGAGAGCCTCCCCCTGTCACCTTCCACAGCTCCATCCCGCTCCCAACTCCACCCTGGGTCCCATTCACTGCCGTAGTTGGGCAGCACCCCCAGCCCCTGCCCCTTTCCCTCCCTCCCTCCCCCCACCCTTTCCCTCCACAGACTTACCTGCAGGGAGCTGCTTTCTGCACTGCCCAGCTGCATTCCTGGCCATGTGCATGTGTGCGGATATGCTTGCATGAGGCGTCCAGAGGCCCTGGCCAGAAGGCATATTATATTTATTGGTGTACATTATCAGCTACACTAGGCAAAAAAAGCCAATAGCTGATAATGTTGATTTTTTTTCCTTTTATCAGTCCCAATCCAACATACAACTGATATATCGGTGCACCTCTAAAAACTACTAATCGGGACTTCTGCAAAATAATACTGATTTCCTGTGGTAAAAATAGGAAGTTTGTCTTCATTCTAGGCAGTTTTTTTAGTTGCAGCTGAAAGACTACAGGCTCTCTGTAAGCCTGCAGGAATGGAAATTTGTTGGAGAGAAAATGCCATTTTCAGCTCAGCTCTCAGTTCTTTTTGTCATAGCTTAGAATTAAACAAGTTGAATAAAAAGTTAAAGGATCATAAGTAAGTTGCATTAGCACCCAGGGTTAGCCTTGTTTTTATTTAATACAATATTTTCAGTGGCAAAGTATGAACTGTACAAATGGATTTCCTACTGGGCAATAAATACTGGTTATTTCTGTTACGATAAACAGAGGAGTCTGGCATGAAATATACAAATGAAACATTGGAGGGACGGAAGGAAAAAGGGGTTAAAATTATATTTATAGTTTGCAATTTAAACTAGTTGTATGTACTGTGCGCCTCCAGAATTGCAGTTCATGGTGAAAAACGCCATACCAGCTTCACTCTCAGAAACAACAACAAAGGTTATAATTTTGTATAAAGACTCAGTAAGCTGCTTCGTTTTACCTCAGGTTTATGATAGGAAAGTTGTCTGTGAACAAATTAGCTAAATCATTTTAAATGAGAAATTAGATTGAGATCAAAATGACTGTACTTTCCTAATATACTTCATCATTACTAGTAAGTGTGTTGAGTGTATTTTTCACGTTTACAACCTACGTTATTATGGATTTAAGTCTGCTATAGGAAGAGGCATGGTGTGAAAAAAATGCAGCTTTGGTTCCTTCATACTCATTTAAAATGTCAGTTTTGCCAACGGTTGGATTACATTGGTCTTGATTGTACCATTTCCCATTGCTGTATTTTCAAAAAAAAAAGGAAAGGATTTAAGAAGAACAGTGGAGCATTTTATTCCATCCATCCATCCATCCATGATTCATTTAGTGAATTTAGGTAAACCCAGCCAAGTGCTCTTTGGAGTACCTAAGCTATTTATATTTACCTTTATTTTCACAGTCTTTGCTTTGTTTTCCAAAGCTTTGCTTTTGTACACTATGCTTGAGAAACTGTAAAACAGCAGAAAAACAAGGATGCTTGATCCAAATACCAGTAATAAGGACTAGCTTCTGAGCTCATCATTCACCATTTACTCAACCAAATTTCCAGCAGTTTCAGTATGTATATGACCAGTCAAGCTCATGTGGCTTTGTTTTAGCAAAAGCAGTATGTTTGCCAAAACTTGATGATTTTTACTTTCTATCCCCTGTTCCTTCCCTGCTCTTCCCCTGGGAATACAGTAGTTCAGGTTACATGACTAATGTTGGCTAATTGATTGTGTTGGTGACTGTGATATGACTCCTTTATGACTGTGTATGCATGTGTGCATGCAAGTGGAGGTGTGCTCTCACATTCATGTCTGAAATAGGAGGAGGATAAATGAATTGCTGATGATTAGGTATTTCTGTCTCCCAAACAACTTTTTGTCATATGAGATATTTAGAAAAAACGTCACCAAATCATCCCCGCCTTACCGCAAATAATGATATTATGCAGAAGAATTTCAAGTAAAGAATGACAGTTATAGTTGTGATAATGTGATTAGCAAGGGAATAGCCTGCTTAAGTTAGAACCAAATTTAAAACCTTGAAGTAGTCCACATTTTTTCCTGAATCATCTAACCCCTGTTCATCTTAATTTTAGCAATATGGATATTAGTAATAGAAATTGTAAGTAACAATGTTAAACACAGTATAATGATGAAAAAGGGATCTTTCCTGTAAACAACTTTTGTCTGCTGTTTCTAGGACCTCTTAAGGCGATTTGTGGCCTATATGAAGAGTGTATTGTGAAGATGTGTTTGACCTCTAAATCCTCTAGTTTTGAACTCTGCTTTCCCCCTCGCATACTTGCAGTGTTCCTTTCCTAGTTTGATATTGCTAGCTATATAAATTACTGAGCAGTTTTGCCAGGGATTTACTTCATAGCAATAGTGTGCTCCTCTTTTTAGAGGCAAAGGCAAAATGTAGCCTTTAATTTATTGGTTAAAATGCTATGGTGGTTTTGCTGCTGTAGCAAGAGTCTGAGGCAGGGGAGAAACTAAATGATTCTGTACTTCTTCCCTCTGGTTTTTATCCCCAGATTCCTATTATTTCCTCTACCTCCTGCCATGATCGGCATCTTTACCTCTTGGATAGAGGGTAAGTGGCTTCCTGTTCAGTCACTGACAGTACCACTTCATAAGTCAGCTGTCAAAAAATCATTTGAGACTGCAGCCAGCATTTCTTTCCTGTCCTTCAGACTCGGCATGTCACTTCAATGATATTCTTTCTCTATTGGCCCAGAATGAAAGCAGTGAAAAGATCTGTGTTCAGATCTTGTGCAAACGCCATATGAGACCACCAAACTATCACTAGTAGTTAAATATTAGTAACATCAGTAAAAAAAAGTTATTCCAATAAATGTTTGCTTTTTTTCTTTCTTCTACAGGAATATTTTTACCCGAAATACTTGGGTGAGTGCAGTTATTACTTTCATTTTTTTTGGCAGCTCTGATGTGTGCCTAACATTAGAACAGGGGACAGCCAAAGCCTTCTCAAATGAATATAATAGAGATCCTGTAGCAATTACCGTGTATTGTGTATCGTTTTCCTGAAATAGAGCTAAGTGTTTTGTATATGCACTATTAAGGGTGCATATTTTTATTTCTATCCTCTGTATAATTACTCACACAGCATTTTACATATTATATTACAGATGTATATTAAAATGTGTGTGTAATGCTACATTTATTTTTGTAGCTTACATCATTGCTGTGTAACTTGCAGTCTCCTAAAATGGACACACTTTTAATTAGTTGACTTTAAATATATTTTAAATAAATGGATTAGCTTGCAGATCCATCGCTCTTTATATTCTGTGCATCGTTGTCAATATTCAGCATATTTTGGTATTTGCACTTGGCATTTACTATTCAAGATTACAAATGTTAGCTCTTAGAATACTCCAGGTGCCTTTTAGAGTCTTCTGTTTAGTAGGTAAGATTTTTAGTAACTATTAACATCCATTTAGCACCATAATAGCATGACAGAATGATCCTATTGTGCATCAACACCCCCAAACCTGTCTTGACATCATCAGGCTACATATTAGTTTACACATTGTGATAACTGGCATGTAATTACAATAATAATAATAATTTCATTTTCTATCCTTCAGCTTGTATTCAGAAATATGGGTCACCGTATACAAGGAGTCCAGATTTCCTTACATGCGTTCATAGTAAGCATCTTTCATATTGTCTATTGCAATTAAACATAAATGTCATTGTGTTTGAGGAGGTGAGGGCACCTCAGTCATCTCCATCTTTGATAGTGCTTTAGTGCCTCCTTTCCCACATACTTCAGTTAAGATTTTGTGTTACCTGTGCCACATTTCTATCTGAATAACCAACTGACACTGTTTGCGGACCTTTTAATTTGTCTACTTCATCATCTTCCAAATATCTTCCATTGTGTAATTGTGCCAGGCATTCCTCCTTCTTCTCTCCCCCATTTCCAAAGGGCTGAGCAATCTGGGAAATGAGGGAGAAGACAACCAAGATTTACTTTGGGCTTGGCTCTTCATTTTTCTTTTTCCCTCCTCTTTGAAAACACAAGTTAAAGCTTATCTCTGTCATTGAGTGACTACCTATTAAGAATTGCCTTTGAATTTGAAGCTTAAGTGGGACTTTGGTGACTTGCTACACTGCCTGGGGTGAATTTCAGTTATCATGTGAAATTTCTCTAGTGTATGAAAAGCTTTCAAATCAGGCCTGATCGTTTGTAAGTAAAATGGTAGCTTTCCTCACAGTGAGCCGTACAGATCTAACTTGGAGCCGCTTTGAAAGTCAAGCTGGATTCTTTCTGGCTTGTACATTTCTTATCAATAAATATTCTGCGATTTTAATTTAATCACCGATTTGCTAATTCCCACTCTCTCCCCCAGAGCTCTGTAGTGCTGAAAACACAACATTGCAAATGGATTTTGGCACTGATCTAAGGAGACATGATTCTAAACATGCTTAGGTTTCAAATCAGTTGAGTCAAAAAGCACTGCTTAGACATAGTCACTTTTTTTTCCCTCTCGCATTGTTGTCTTAGCACAATCTAGTTTGACTGGTCATTTAATTATACCAATGCCAGGACATTCTCCATCAGAGAGGGAAATGGTCACAAAATTACATTTTCAAGTTTAAAATCTGTTAACTTTGGAGCAATTTTTCTAAATAGTTCATAAAGGTGCCTTTACTTGAACTCCAGAATTAATAAACAGCACTTCAAGATCTGGCCTCACGTAAAGCAGCAACATGATTTATAGATTGTAAAGGAATTATCTGAATTAATGATGAAATGTTTTAGAAATATTAAACTGGTGGGTGCTAATTGTAATTTAGACCTGAATGAGAGCTGAATAAGAACTTGAGAACCCCACTGTAGAGAGAGAGCACTATCAGTATTTTTCTTCTCATGTTAAAACCTTTAAAATAGGAAGAAGGCAGGGTAGAGGTGCATTTTATAGACTAATGGAATCAGAGATGCATAAGCTTTTTAATTTTAAAGTACGGAGCCAGCCATTGCTTGAGTACACAGGGTGAGTAAAGAAGGGCATAGAAGGAGCCCTTTCCCCTTGTACCCTCTCAGAAGTGCATTTTGTAATTTCTGTCTTTAGGCTCACTTGAAGACCGTGTTTCCATTGGTCTTGTATGACTAGTCTGCTAAAGGGCTGTGGAGCAGGGGTGTCAGACTCGTGGAATTGCATGGGAGTGGTTCATGGCTGAACTGGGCCCACAGACCAGCCCTGCATGCCAGATCCAGGGTGTATGGGCAGTCTGGTATAGGCACCAGGTGCATCATGTGTCCTGGAGCAAGCTCTGTGCGCAGTACGCATCCCAAATTGGTCTGCTACGGGTGCCTCATGTAGTGTACATCCTGGACCAGCCCCACCATGCACAGCATGCATCCAAGAGTAATTGTGCGCAATATGCATCCACACCAACCTTGAGCATCATGTGAAGGGTGCAGGGCCAATCCAACAAACGTCTCGTGCTGTGTGGATCCACTCTGAGACCCACAGGCAGCCCTGCAGGCCAGTTGATAGGTCTCCATGAGCAGGATTTGGCCCACAGGCTGTATTTTTTACACCCTACTATAGAGGGCTGTGCCAGTAAGATGCACTTGAGTGTAAAACTGCTTAATGGTGTTATTTTCCTCTCCAAACAAAGTAGTTGAAGTCTTATTAATCCATCAGACAAATGCCTAACAAGTTTCAATGGGTACAGAGTCCTGCTAGATAAACTCCTACTGGAAATGAATTAATAATTGCCAATTGTAAAGGTAATTTATCACTTGTGGTAGTTTACCAAAGAATGTAGGGGTTTGCTACCATTTGAAATTCAAATTGGATCTCTAGATTGGCAGTTTCACCAGAATTTCTAAACTTGACACTGGAATTGCTGGGTAAATTCTGTGGCTTGTGTTAGATATTAAGTCAAACAGAATAATAAAGCAATACCTTTTCACTTATTCATTTAATACCAATGAGATAGGTGAACAATGTTATTTTTGTAACTAGACAAGTTGTCTGTGTAGTTTTAATCAATTTGTTTCATAAATATCAGCAGATAAACTAGGAGCAAGTGGTGGTGAATGGCAAAAGTAATCACTGTATTAGGACTCTGAAATGGAACTAGAACTGTTGTGCTCTAAGTCATATTTAAGGATTAAGTCATGATATTATGGGTATGAGTAAAGTGAGAATGCTTACCTAAATCAATGAAGAGAAAGGCTCCATAAGCCATACTCTCTTTGCTGAAGTCAGTGGAAATAAGCTTATGTGAAATCCAGCAGGAGAGCATCATTAGATGCGGTATTATGAATACATACGCACACATGTGAGAAGAGGAGTATAACATTTGGCACATTGTTGGCCCTATACAAAAAGTAAAATAGTTTGTCCTTCAATCCTCAGTGGTATTGGATATGTTTAATTGCAGAGAGGGGTGAGGAGGGGGATAAATGCAGAGACTGAGGGCTCACAGGTAATCTTGGCCCTAATCCTTCCCACTTGTTTTGGCCATTGGGCTTTGGCTAGCATCACAGTGTGTGCAGGACTAGGTAAGGCTTCTTTAAGGAAAGTTAAGTCTGCTGCACATCTACTGTAGTCTGCATAGAAAAGGGATGTGCTGGTGAGAGCTGCTGTTTCCTGGCTCCTCTCTCTGGTCCCTGAACCCTCCTGTGAGCCTTGTCAGAAATGCAGAGATTTTTCAGATTGGGATATTGGCAGCAGTGTGTGGACAGCCCATGCATCTGCTCCACTCCCTACTGCAGCTTTTCCCTTTGTCTTTTAATGGTTTTTCTCTCTCCTGCCCAGCTGAGGGGGGAACGTTCTTTCCTCTTGCTGGTGGTGAATGGCCCTGGTTATTACCATGAACCTTTTAATGAGGGTCACATGTAAATGCTTTTTTTAGAATGATTTTTTTTTTTAAGACATGGGCTTCAGGGCTGTCTATGAAATATATATATTTTTTGGCAGCAGTCAAGTCACATTCCATTCCTGAACAGTCCTTTAGTCCACTGTTTCTCAACCTGTGAGTTGCAAGAATAGATGAAAGGGTGACAAACAAACTTTAAAAATGGATTCTCCTTTAAAGGAGAAAATCATGGCAAACCATGGCTTTTCCTTTGTAGGCTGCCCATACATGCCCATCCCCTACCCCACACACTAGGGGGCTGGCTCCTTGGGGGTTGGGGGCAGCGGGTCAGGAGTGAGGGGCACTTGGGTAGGACTGACCATCAGTGTTTACAAATGGGTCCTGGTACAAAAAAGGTTGAGAACCACTGCCTTAGTCCCTTTCTCCCCTGCCCTCCAGTCAACCCCTGCTGTGGTCCAAGCTCAGTTCTTGTTTTATCTATAGCTTGTTTCTAACTAGAGGCTGAAGATGCTTTAATTATTGAGCAGAAAAAAAACCTACTAGGATAAATGTGGCCATTTTTTCAGTAGGGACAGAATTATGGACATTAGGAGGGTAAATCCTATCGACTGCATTGGTTTTCTCTCCTTTAGAGCTATTCTCAGAGTTGTTTTCTAATTCTTCCCTCTTTCCCCTCCCCTCAGTCAATATACTATATTCAATAACAGACACTACCCCAGGCTAGCTTTTCCTGTCAACCTTCAGTCCGCCTCAAGCGTAATCGAGTCTTTCTTATAGGCAGGATCACAGTTGACTGGTATGTTTATGACTTACTATGTTCCTTTAAACGTGCTTCAGGGAGGGAAGGGGAGAAGTCTTCATGTCCTCCACTGTGGAAATAAAAAACAAGTACAAAACTATTGTTATGAGTAAACTGGATAAATGGCAGATGTAAAGCTGGCTATCTTTTTTTCTTGGTATAACTCTATGGCCATAAAATTTAGAAATATTGTATGTAATAATGGTTTAAAAGGTCCACTTTTGTCCATTATGAGGTGTGTTAGTGACAGCTGTGGAGCAGAAACTTAGATTTTTATTGTTTCCTGATTCCTAAAAATGAAATGGTATCTTCTTTTTTTTCCTCCATTTCTATGCTTAATATAGTGCTGGTCTTTACTGAAGTGCAAAATTTGTTGTTTATTTCTGCCCTATCATGTCTAAGATGTTTATTAGCTAGTAGTCAAAGACAATAATGTGCTGCAATAAGTATTTCATAAATGCATCAAAGGGATTTAATTTTTTTTGTCATTAGAAGTATTTTATTAAAGTTTTCAAATAAAGGGTCAGTGGAGGCATACTTTCAGGCTCAAAGAGGATGACAAGAGAAACACAGATACATAATTCTGACAAAAGATAGCATTCACTTATTCTGAAGTATCAAACACTTCTTCATAGCTTCACTCCTTCATAGCTAAGAACTCCTTCATAACCTTCAAATCCTTTATAACCTTCACTCCTTCATAGCTAAGAACTGTAATCAGGCCAGTAATCAAAGCACAGACTACATAGGGGGCATGTTTCAAAAAATAATTGTCAGGGAATGATCTATGCACTTTTCTCATCAGAATCCAGTGCATGAAAAACCCTTCCATTTTCTCCTTTAATGTGTATGTTTATTCTCCGAGTGCATGCAGATATTGTGATTGCACTACAAGAGAGTGAGAGAGAAAAGTAAGAGCAAATACAGTCTTGCAACGAACTTGATTTACAATGGGTAAAAATGTGGTGCCTTTTGTATTAGGGTCTCAGCTAACTAATTGCAATGGAAGAA